GATCTCCAAACCAGTGTAATGGCAGAACAGGGACTAGGACAAGGTCTCCTGACTTGCTTTTTCCCTCCCTTCTGCTCCTGACCACAGCCCAGCTTTGGCAGAGGTGATGAGGACCTGGTGAGGAAAGTCCCTCTTGCTACAGCAACAGGGAACTGAGCAATAGGGAAACTGAGGCGCGGAGCGGTTACTCCTGTGAAGATGAACAGTAAGTTCAGGCTGGCAAACATCTCCTTCTCGCCTTCCTCTAAGACACAGCACCAGCCCTCCACAGGGTGACAGCACACTCAGACCCCTGGTTCATTCATTTCAAGCTTGGCTTTGTTAGGGAGACACTGGAGACTTGGAGAAGTCCCCTCGAGAAGGCAGAGGCCTGAGACTCAGTCTAGTGCTCCCTCTCAGCAGCAGTCAAGGTCTGGGGCTGCACATTTATCTTAAAGGGGCTCTCAGGCTGGGTAGCAGCAGAGAAGGCCACAAAGCTTCCTTAGCAGAGGAGCCTGTGGCTACATGGTGGACCCAAAATATACCAGTGTCCAGGCCAGAAACCAACATAAGATCCAACTTCCTCTCACCTGGGGCTCTGGAAGGGGAGGCTTGGGCCATCAGGCAGGGGGGGGCCTCGGGCAGGTGTCCAGCCCCGGATGCTGAGCCCAGACAGGGATGTGGGAAGCAGCCTGGACTCCAACAGCCCATGTTCAGGGAAAGCCCTGCTTTGGGAGTTTGGTTAATGAGCCCTGTCCCCGCTAGGGCGGGCTACCCTCAGCCTCCAAGGATGGAGCTTTGGTTTTATACATTTGGCTTTTTGTGGAGTCCTCAAGATACAAATCTTCCTCTGTTATGACAGTATTCTGTCCACCTTTTATGAAAAGCCCTAAATACTTGCGGCTCTTTTTTAAAAAAATCTTATAGAAAGGTTGCAAAACCTAAGAACCCCAGCATATCCCTTCTGAGAATGCTAATTGTTTACCTTTTGCTCCCTTTCTCCCTCTGTGCACATCTGTATGGGCAAAACTGGCCTGGCCTGTGAAGGGGAGGTTATCAGACTGTTTTGTCTATTACAGCCCTGCCTACCACCTCTGCCACTGCCAATGCACCTAATTTGCTTCCAAGCACCTCATACCTGTCCTTTGTGTGAGGTGTGCAAAGCAGCCGGTGTTACCTTCACATTACAGAGGGGAAACTAAGGCAGAGGCCTCTGGATGTGCAGTGCCCTTCTTACACAGAGCCACTGATGCCCAAGTCCTCAGCCAAAACAAACAGTGCCCATGATGCAGACCATCTTCTTAGTGATGGGATAGTACGGTAGCAGTTTTTAAAAGAAAAAGCCATGCTGTGCCCAATAGCAGAATGAGAGAGGCTTGGGGTCTGGGTGACCTGGATTCTCCTCCATAAAGCTGACTTATGCACTGCGGGTGGGAGCCATGGGCAGGGCTGGGTAGGGTGAAGGGGCTCCCCCCTAGCCTGTTCTCAGGCTTCTTTTTTTTTTTGCCTTTTGAAGTGCTGGGCATTGAATCCAGGGCTTCACACATACTAGGCAAGTGTTGTACTACCAAGCTAAGCCCCCAGTCCACAGTCTAAGTAGGAACAATCTGGACACACATACCACATATAGAAACATGTGCATACATCACATACACAAAGCACACACACAAGTATACACACACCACATACACACTTGCACAGCCCCATATAGCATACCACACATACACATATACACATCTGCACACACATATTACATGCATCACATCCATACACTCACATCCACACACAGGAACTCACACATGCACAAACTCATACACCTACATGCTCATACCCATGCATACATATCACACAGCACACACATGCAGATATCATGCACACACAATACACATATGTATGTGTATACCACAGATTCACACACACAGCCTCATGCATACAGCATCACATACATCTCACACATACACTTTCACCCCAAACACACACATAACATGCTACACACACAAACACACACACACACACAGCTTTATGGCTCAGCACACCTGAAGCTAAGCAGTCTCTCCTGGACAACTCCCTTCCCTGGGGCTGAAAACCCTCAGCAGGTTGGTACCTGGGGGCTTCCCCACAATCTGCAACACACAAGCAGCACCGCCCAGCATGGGGTAAGAAAAGGAAGACAGCAGAAGGGGAAGCAGCTCTTCCTAGAAGTGGACAAGGATAATCACCTCACTCAGGTGAGACACGGAGCTGAAAAGAGATGTGTAAAGGCACAGCTGTAAGATCTGAGCAGTGTTGGGAGCCATTTACACAAGATCGTGGCAGCAGAATGGCCCTTGTACGAGCACTCCTGCTGGCAGAAAGGAGAGATGGACCTGTAAGGGGGGGCGTGTGTGCATGTGTGTGTGCATGCATGTGTCTTCATGGGCATATGCATCTGTGCAAGTGAACATGTGTGTGCACAAATGTAGACAGAGCTGTGGGAGTATGTGTGTGAGCATGACTGGGGGTGTGGGCATGTGTGTGTGCATCTGTATGTGTGTGTCAGGGAAATACAAGAGACCAGGGCAGAGTTTAACATTCACGAGCTTCTTTCTTCCTGCACAGTTTGTCATTTGTGTACTACCACCAAGAGACAGCACAGGGATGGGTGGGGACGGAGGCTCAACCTTCTAGGCAGACGTGGTCCTGAGCCCCAGTCTCCCACCCGAGTCAGAGCTGCCTGTCCTGCCCTAGCACAGCCTGGGTGATGGACCGAAGCAGGGGAAAATAAACCAAACTTTCCCCTCAGAGCTTCAGGGGCTTGGTGAGGTCTGTCTAAACCACCCGGTTTTCTGCTGGGCCTTTCCTGAATCCCAGAGCTTGTCAAATTAAAGAAGAAAGAACCACTCACCCCCTGAAAGTCAGCCAACGCGGTGATTATCCCACTTTTCCTGGAATGAGCTTTCCACACTTTGGCCGGCTGGAGCCACCGGCAGCCAGGGCTCCCACCTCTCCAAGCTGCTCTCACACCCTCTGCAGCTCCGCACAATGCTTTCAAGTAAGTCACCGCTATGTGCAGTTACACTTCGGAGAATCCACTAAGGAAGGACGCGGGAGGGCGCGGGAAGGCAGGCGGGAGGGCACGCAGGGTCCCCCTGGGATGAGGGAAGCCAGGGTGGAGGAGGCTGCCTCTCTCCTCCTGAGTGGTGCTCTGGCTGTCCTTTCTGGGGCTGCTAATCTAACACACACTTGGGTTGAGCTGGGAGCGAATGAAGGACCCCAGGGCGGAGGAATTCCCGCTGCAGTGGCAGCAGTGTGGGCCAGACTGGCCTCCCATGGAGGCTGAGAGCAGAGAGGATGGAGTGCTGCATTCAAGAGCTGGCCTTTAACATGCCACATCAGATTTTCCATTTGCAGACAAGCCAAAACCAAACCAACAGCACACAGCCTCCCACCCGTCATACAACCCATAAGCCCATCAGAAATCACAGCCAGCCAACCAACCAGAATCCAGATGCCAGTAATGTCATTAAAAAGCCTGCACACCACCAGATGCCAGGAGGGTCTTGCTGAGCCTCCAGCCTCAGAGCTGAGGAAAAGCAAGCCACAGCACCTAGGTCTGCAGACACAAAGCATTCCTCTCATCCTGCCCAACAGGATCAGTCTGATTGCTCAATGAGAAGCACCAAGGATTTAGAGTCTGTGACAGCTCTCAGACAGCTTTAAAGAAACAGTTGTGGGGCAGATGAGCACCCAACCACAGAACCACATGGGGAGTCCTGCCTTGGGCCGTCTTCAAGGCTCTGATTCTGTTATTAAAGCAATCTGTCAGAGAGAATGCTGAAGCAAAAATAGAATCCAATCAGGTGGCCGTGAGCCTGACTTTATCAACACAGCACTAAGTCCTACGTTCTACTACTCACTTGGAGAACCACATTCAGTTCCACCAGCCCTTGGCGACACAGGTACGTACCTGAACGGTTGGACTTCTCTGCGGTCGGCTCCCCAAGCCACATACCTCTTGCAAAGTTAAGGATGGATTCCCTGATACCTGTACCAAACTTTGAAGCCTGCCCGTGACTCAGATGGGGCTACTTGGTGTATGCTTTCTATTTAAAGATCAGACAGGGCTAACGCTCAGATACCATTCAAACCCTAAGCTTCTAAGAACTGGGTGCTATATCTGGTCTGTTTGGCCCTTACTTTCCATCAACACAGGAGATGTTCTTGTTGACAACCAGGGCTTCTTTTTCCATTGCCAGCTGCACAGGAAGCAGGGGTAATGGGGAGCTGCCTCCCTCCTGGGCTGGGCTGCTGAGGAGTCAACATCATCAGCTTCCTCTAGGAAAGATGTTTAGGAGACCTCCGAATGCCACTGCCAGGGTCGGGAAGAAATGCCAAGGAACTGAGCAGCAGTCCTGGAATCCTGTCTGAGCCACGCTGCGCTGAGGGCCATCCCAAGCAGACGGGGTTGCTGGAGACAGACACACAGCACACCAGCAGGACCATTCTACCTAACAGCAGACGGCAGAAGAGTCTCCCTACACCATCTTCTCAGAAACCGCAGCGGGGCAGATAAGACATTCCCCCACCGAATGCCCACTGTCAGCGGAAAGAGGATCAGCCAGAGGGATGGCCAGCCTGGAGCTGGGTCCTGCCTACCAGGGGGCACAGGCATGCCTCTAAATTTCCTCCCTGCTCCAGCCACACTTGAGGAAATCACCCCGCCTGTTCTCTGAAGCCATCTAGTGAAAAATGGAAGCACAACACAGCCATGTCCCCAGCCCTGGAAGGCAGGAGCTGAGCTCCTTACGGACTCTTAAGAGAAGAAGCCCACGTACCCAAAGTCTGACCTGCCCTGTGAGCTCGGGCAGGCCAGGCCAGGTCTCTCTCTTCCTCTCCCCTCCATCCCAGTCCTTGGAGAGAAAACAAGCAGTTGGTGTGATCAGACGGAGCCTTGCTTGCTAATAAACCCATCCTGAAGCTGTGACACGTTTCAGAAGGAGCAGAAAATTACCTTTCAGAAAGCCAATGTGAGGTAAGGGGAGGGGGGGACAAAGTATGAGAGTCAGGAGCCACGAGCCGCCACCGCAGGAGCAGGAGCCGGGCCAGGGCTCGTCCAGCAGCCCTCATCCTTGCAGAGGTCTGGCCTTAGGGCGCCGCCCCCAGCCCGAAGCACTCCCGGCAGCCCATGCCTGGAGAAACGGAGGGCGCCAGCATGCGGTCCCTGGGCTGGCTGGACCGAGGAGCCACGGTGGGCAGGGACGACGGAGGCAGGGAGGAAGGCAGGCCGGAGAGGAAGGGGTGGGGAGCCGAGCGGGAGGGCGGGAAGGAGGGAGAATTGATTCTCTCTCCTCCACTGGGACCACTGAGCTAAGTTGCCATGGAGAAAGGGGAGCTGCTGGCAGAGCTCGAGGCGGGCGGAGGAGCCATATGCCAGAGGGAAGGCGTCAGCAGAGAGCCAATCCCACAGTTCTGCTGCTGCAGCCTCCCCCAGCCAGGCCTCTGGGCCCTGGGCGACAAGGTAGGAGAATAACTGGCCAGGCCCCTGGCAAAGCAGGCCCTCAGCACCACCATCCCCAGGGGAAGGGAGGCCAGGCGCGGGGCTTCCCCTGGCTCAGGAAGCTCTGGTGCTGACCCCACCGCATTCCCCCATCCCCGGCACGCTGCGCTGATGGTCAGAGCCCAAGGCCACAACCCTTGGGACTGCGGAGTACAGGCACCCTCGTGCCGGCCAGCTCCTCACTCTGGTGTTTGTGCTTGAGGAGGTGCTGCTGGTCTACATCTGCCTCCCTGTTTCTAAAAATCACTTGCCAGATCCTTGGTCCCACTTTCCCATCCTCAGGAAGGAGGGGATGCCCACCTACGAGAGGCTGCAGCGGCCACACAAGCAGAGGCAGAAAAGGGAGGTGGCTGGGTGTGGGCTGGCAGAGGAGGGGCCGGCCACACCCACGGCACCCACTTGCAGCTCAGAGACAGGGTTGGGGAGGCAGGAGCCCCCTGCTGGATCTTAGTCTCTCCCCTTGGAGGTCACAGGAGCAGGGCAAGTGCGCTCACGTCTCTGGGCCTCCGTTTCCTATTATAAGGAGCACTCAGACAGTGGAGCCCCATGCTGGGGCATGTGATGATGACAGAGGTGGGGAAAGATGAGGATGTCACCTCAGGGGCTGTGGTCACCTCAGGGGCCTGGAAGCACAGGGCCACACCCAGCATCCTCCTTGTCCTCCTTTCCCTCGATTGCTCGGGCCAAGGACCAGCAGCCTCGGTGCTGTGACACGGGACATGTGAGGGGTGCCATGCTGGACCCTGTCTCTGATACCATGGCTAGAGAAGCATCTTTATTTCCACTTTTCCCTCACATTTTATTATGGAAATGTTCAAGTGCCTGAGAAAATAGAAGAGTGCTATAAGGAGATCCACATATTTATTCACTACCTAAATTCCACTGTTTCCTCTCCCTCTTTTACTGTGGTAAAATACATGCAACATAAAATTTACTATTTTATTTTGTTTTGTTTGTTTGTTTGTTTGTTTTCCGGTACCGGGAACCGAACTCATGACCTTGCGCTTGCCAGGCAGGCGATGTGCCGCTGAGCTAAATCCCCAGCCCCCAAAATTTACTATTTTAAACATTCTCAAGTGTACACAGCCGCGCCATTGGGCTCACAGAGTGTGGTGCGACCAGTGCCTCTATCTAGTTCCAGAAGGAGACCCATTAGCAGTCACTCCCCACTTGCCTCCTCCCTCCAGATTCTGACAACCATTAATCTACTCTGTCTCTCAGACATAGCTGCTCAGGACATTTTGTGTAAGGGGAGTCAGCAAGGGTATGTGGCCCTTTCTGTCTGGCTTCTTCTGTGTAATGTCCTGTTCCCAAGGGTCAGCCATGTGTAGCTGTCAGCACTGCATTCCTTTTCATGACTGAGCAATAGTCTGTGTGAACAGACTATAATGTATTTATCCATTCACCAGTGAATGGACACATGAATTGTTCCACATCTGGCCAGTGTCCTTTCATTTTTTTCCACATTACATATGTTTACTTTTTATTTTATGAGAAAATAAGACATAATTTCATAACAAAATAACAAGAGAATAACAATAGTTAATACACTGTGTATCGTTATCATCAGAGTAGTTACTCAGAGTACAAGACATAAACCAAAGATTCTAAGAAACAGATCTTTTCATGATCCTAGCTAAGCTAGGGATATAAATGAAGCAAACAGCATATACATTAAAATATTTTTGAACAACAAAATATGTAAATTGGGGAAGTATTTGAGCTCCCTATTTCCTATTTATCTCTCTTCTATCATGCTCTTTATTTTTATGTTTATATATATATTTTGTTTCTCATTTGACAGTTGAGCTCATGTGTCTGACTTATTTTGCTGAACACACTGTTCTCAAATTGTATCCATTTACCTATGAATGCCACAACTTTACCTTTCTTTACGGCAATGTAATACTCCACTGGGTATAAATACCACATTTTGTTCATTCCTCATCTGTTGACAGGTATCTCTGTTTCTAAGATCTAGCTATTGTAAATTGTGCTGCTGTAAACATGGGTATGCATAGATCCCTGTGATAAGATGATTTTTAACTCTTTTGGGAAGATGCCTCAGAGGGTGACAGCTGGGACGAATGGAATTTCTATTTCTAGTTTCTGAGGAACCTCCATACTGATTTCCATAGTGGATGCACTAGTTTACATTCTCGGCCAACAATGAAGTAGAGTTCCTTTTTACCTATAGCTTCAACAGCATTTATTATTATTAGATTTTTTTCATGATAGTCATTCTTTCTGGGGTAAGGTGGTAGCTCAGTGTAGTTTTAATTTGCATTTCTCTGATGACCAGTGATAATAAGCATTTTTTCATGTACTATTGGCCATTTGTACTTCTTCTGAGAAGTGACCATGCATTTCATTTGCCCACTTTTTTTACTAGGTCTTTTGGGGAGGGTCTAATTTTTTTTTTGAGTTCTTTATATATTCTTGATGGGAGTCCTCTGTCCATGGAATAGCTGGCAAATTTTATCCCCTTTCTGTTGACTTGTTTCTTTACTCTGTTGGTTGTTTTCTTTGCTATGCAGCTTTTTAGTTTGATATGATTCCATTTGTTGATTCTTGGTATTATTTCTTGTGCCACTGGGTTGCTGTTTAGAATGTCCTTGCTTATGCCATGTCTCCTTTTACATTTTTGGTTTTGTTTTGTTTTTTTGAAACAGGGTTCACTATGTAACCCCCAGGCTGGGCCTCGAACTCATGGTGATCCTCCTGTCTCAGCCCCCAGTGTGCTGGGATTACAGTCATGCGCCACCACATCCAGCTTTCCTTTCACTTTTAAAATAAATTTTTCAGCAGGGTGTGGTGGCACATACCCATAATCCCAGCAGGCTGTGGCAGGAGGATTGCTGTGAGTTCGAGGTCAGCCTGAGCTACAAAGTGAGTTCAAGGCAGCCTGAACTGCATAGCGAGACCCTGTGTCAAAAAAAAAAAAAAAAAAAAAAAAAAAAAAGTTATTTGCCTAATATATAAAACAAAAACAAAGACCTGAAATTTGTAAAAGGGAAAAGAAAAAGAACAGAAGGAAACAATGGAAACAAACAAAAAAACTAAAACAAAATGAGTTTTTCAGAGCTCTGGGAAGGCTCCTGATGTGCCCCTCCCATTGCATTTGGTCTCTAAGCTACAGACTCCTGAGGGCTCAAACTGAATGCTGCCCCCAGCCAGTCTTTCCTTTAAGCAACGCTTCCCAGTGGGTGTCATATGGGAGCCTCCATCTGGCCTGGAGCCCAAGGCAGAGATCCCAAGGGGCCTCGTTCTCCACTGTCCCAGGGAGGTTACCAGCTCGGCAGGACACAAATGCACCAACCCCAGACCCTCGCTTTAAGGCCGGGGGAACGTGGGCCCCAGTGTTGTGTGGCACTCTCTAGCTGTGTGACCAGTGATCAGCTCGGCTGTAGCTTCAGCTTCTCCATCTATAAAGTAGGGACAACAATCTCCACCTGGGCCACCTCAGGGACGGGCCACCCCAGTGATGGGCTGCCCTGCTCAACAGAACTTTCCCCAATGACTGGCAGCTTCTCCACATGCCCCAGGGCGGCTGTGGCCCCAGGTGACTATAGAGACCTTGGAATGTGACTAGTGTGAGCGTGGAATGGAATATTTCACTGTATTACACTTTAATTTACAATTGAAATGAGAATCACACAGGGCTACTGGTGACCAGACAGAGCAGCTCTGAGTGTGAAGGAGGTGGCAACTGGGGAAGGATCATCCTTGTCCTGAGTCTCTGTCCCTCCCGCTCCCTCTCCCGACTTACCCTGCAGTGGCTGGGCAGTGGGGCAGCCTCTGTCTGCAGCCTGGCCAGAGGCCCCTCTAAAGGAACAGAGTGCGGGCGGTCGGGTTCTCAGGGAACCAAACAGGTGCCAGTTGGGGAGTGGGCTGCTCAGACTCCATAATGACAAGGGTCTCTGAACTGAGGACCTTGCTCTCTGTCCTGTTCTAGAACCCCCTCCCCATCTCCCCCAGCAACTCCTGGAATGTCTGCACAGGGGCTACGGGATTGGAACTCCCCACAGGTGAGAGAAGCCTGCATGAAGATGTGCAGGAAGTCCTTGGATCCAGAGTGAGTGAAGCTGCTCCCAAAGTCCCTATGGTGCGGATAGGCTGTACCTGGATGCACAGCAGACTCTGCCCCAGAGTTCTCATTCTGCACATGAAAGTCCCACACTCAAAAAAGGAAGCGTCCTTTCTAGGATCACACAGCAAGGCAATAACAGCACTGGGTCTGAGTCCAGCCTCAGACCCTGACCTTGCCTGGGGAAAACAGGGGGCTACACGAGCCTGCATCCTCCTGGGGCCTCCAGCACTCACGCCAGGCAGCCCAAGAACTAGATCTGAAAGCAGAGCCATCCATCCATCTCCTGTCCCCAACCACCTGAGCCCATCTGGGAAGAAGCTATGCTGAGAGAGTGGTAAGAGGGCTCGAGATAAACAGGAGAGACTGAAACACCTGACCACAAAGCACAGCTAGCCCTCCATACTTGTGGTTTCCACATCCCAGGGTTCAACCAATCACAGATTCAAAGTATTCAGAAAAAAAAATAGCATCTGTACTGAACATGTACAGATCTTTTCTTGTCATTATTTCCAAACAATACAGTGTAACAGCTATTTACATAGCACTGCTACTGTTGTGGGTATTATGGGTAATCTAGAGATGGCACAGGTTATATGCAAATACTACACCGTTTCATGTAAGAGGCTTGAACATTCTGGTACCGGCAGGACCAGTCCCCTTCTGACGCCGAGACGGATGTCAAGCATGAACTCCATTTGTGCTCAGGCACCCCTCCTCATGAGGGCCTTCCTTAAAATTGAACCCTGACCCCAACTCCGGCACTCCCTTGACTTCATTTTCTTCAGAGCATGGGTCCTTATCTAATACACTATGTATGCTTCTTTCTTTCTTCTTCTCTTCTTTATTTAAATGCTGGTAGACATGTGACATAACATTTGCCACCCTAACCACTTTGAAGTGTACAGTTTGGTGGCATTAGGTACATCTACTTTGTTGGGCAACCCTCACCATAATCTCAGAAATTACCTTCCCAAACCAAAACTGCACCCACTAAACACAAACTCCCCCATGCCCCGGGACCCCCTGGTCCACTTTCTGTCTCAATGCATTTGGCTTCTGTAGCTCATGGTATGAACAGCATCTGTCCTTCTACGTCAGGCTTCTTTCAATTACCATGTCTTTCCCCTTCACCCATGTTGTAGCATGTTCTTTTTTAAAGTTGTCTGTCTCTCTGACTGGAATAGAGGCTCTGTAGGGGCACGATTTGGAGTGAGTGCATTCACTGCTGTATTCCCAGGGCCTGGAATAGCACCAGACACAGCAGGCACTGAGGGAATCTTTTGAAGATAGGATGGAAGGATAGATGAATGAACGCATGGCAAGATGGATGGACAGATGGATAAATGAATAGCTAGATGGATGAGTGGATGGATGGCTGCATTCTCGGGCAGAGGTATGAATGAATGGATGGATGAATAGGTAGGTGAACTGGTGGATAGATGAATAGATGAATGGGTACGTGGATAGATGAATGAGTCGGTGCAGAATCTACAGATCTTAGTTCTTCCTGGGTCTCTGCCTGGCCCAGAGTTATATCTATCTTCCCCAGGTGCCCCTTGTAGACTAATTCCTGGCCCTGCCCTATGGCATAGCCCCTCACCCTGACGCCCCAGGCCCACCATCCTTGAGGGACGCCTGGCGCCCTACTTGGGGCTAGGCTTCTCTGCTTCAGGCAGTTTCCCTCAGATGTGGCCTGTCTATGGAGCATTATTCATGGGCAGGTAAGAGTCCCCAACCCCGACATAACTGTGTGCCTGGGAGTCTCACTGTGCTGCTAATGCACAGTGTAGCAGTGAGAGCCAGGGGCCAGGAAGTGCCTGAGCACCGGATTCCGCCCACAGAGCCTGAGGCTAGTGCCGGAAGGGCAGCAGCCTGGCGGACATCCAGGAACCTGGGGGCTGGCCCTGCAGTCCTGCTGGGGAGCTAGGCCACAACCTTGGCGGCTGTTGCCTCTCACCTTCTCTACATCCTGCCTGGCTATTTATAGTTGCCCTCTCTGAGAACGCCCTTGCCCATTTTTCTGAGCTGGAGGAACTTCGTAAATTAAAGTCAGGTGGACCCCACATCAGCGGCCCACAAACCTGAGGGCAGGGACCGCACTAGGCCAGGCCTGCTGACCCCCTGGCTCTTGACAGGTGTCTTGTGCCCTGCCAGACTTGGAGTGCCTATTGCAGGGGAGGCGTCCCAGGACAGGGCAGTAGCCCAACACCTGGGTAGACCTCAGTCAGGGGGGATGGTGACCCCAGAAGGGCCTAGGTCACCACAGATGCTCTGTTTCAGAAAAAGCAGACAGATTGGGAAAGTGGAAAACAGCTGTACCTTTAAATTATCTGGCCCACAGATATGAAAACATTTGCACACTGAAGTTGTTTGCATCGCGGGTTATTTTTAGGGTGAACCCAGTTGCCTCCCCTTGGAACCGGATGAAGCCCCAGAAGCACGTAGTCCTTTTTCCCAGATGGGGGTCCTGTTCCTGCTTTGCTGGGAATGAGAACTGCCTCTGGGATCTCCAGGACCCCCACCCCCACCAGAACCACGTACTTGCTTGGCCTGCTGGAGAGGGACTTGGGGGCCAGGGAGCTGGGAAGATTTGCCACTGTGAAGAAGGTCGCCACCCCTTGGACCCCAAGCAGCCTCTCCGCGCCCCCATGGCGTGCTGTGCCGGGGAGAAGGCTCCATCCGGTGCCTCCACCCATGCCAGGCTCAGCTGATGGAATATGTGGCTGACATATTTCCAGAACAAGCAGCAATTAAAGTAGATTTTCTCTTCCACTCCCCCTCCCCAAAACAGGAATAAATCAGTTCTACCAATTTCCCAGCTAATGATTTCCTCCATTAAATTAAAAAGAAGAAGAAAATGCTTTTTTAAACGGATTACCAGCCTTGTGCTTTCAGAGACCACATGACCTGTCAACTCCTCTTAAGCCCAGATACATCAACGCCCCTCAATTAATTTTTAATAAATTAAAAAAAACTCTACAGTTTAAGAAGCACTGCACAGCCCCTCCCACCCTCCCCATTTACACAGCACTAAGAGTCTGCTGCAGCCCGGCTTTGGGAAGCCGGCTCCATTGAACCAAAGGTCATCCTCGCAGTCGGTGCTAGAGAGCCATTTCACAGATGGGAAAAGGAGGGAGGACAGACGGCAGGCAGCTAAGCACCCCGAGGGCCGAGTGAGCATACCACAGGGCGTTTGTTATATGTGGGGAGGGGTCGTCAGTCTCCATGTGCACCTGCCTGGGAACCTGCAAACAGGTGAATCGAGCAGTCTGAGCAGGGACAACGCATGTGATCGCCACCTGCCACGGCAGAGGCGGGCAGGACAGGACTCCATTCATATCCCATGTCTGTAACAGGCAAATCCACAAGAGAGGAGCATACAAGAGAGATTATCAGTGGGCAGGGGGAGGCTGGGAGGTGTTATTTAAATAGGTACAGCTTCTGCTTGGAAGGTGGAAAATCCAGCAAAAGGATGGGGCAAAGTTGCATAGCACGGTAAACACATTCACTGCCCTGCCTCAGGCACTTACACATAACAGCTGGTGAAGTCCATGCTATATGTATTTTACCACTATAAAAAATACAACAAGAAACAAAGGTCCATGCTCTAAAGTGCTTTTTGAAGACACAGGAGTGGCTGACAAGTTCTCGGCGCCTGTGGCAGGACCCTCTGCAGCCTGCCCCAATTCCAGGCAGGTCTTGGTTCCTACCACAGGGCTCAGGAGCTCCTGGGTCCTCTTGTCACATGAAAACCCAGGGCCCTTCAGAGAAAGGCTTCTCAGGTTAGCCAGTGCCATGCAGCCAGGGTTCCGCCATCCCGGAGGCCTGCCAAATATCAAAGGGTGGGCAGAGGCTGAGAAGTTTTGGGGGCACACCTTCCCTGGAGGCACCTCAGGGCCTTTGCGCCTGCCTGTCCTGTCCCCAGAATGCACTTCCCCCGATGCTGCAGAACTTGCTTCCCATGTGTATTTAGGTTTTTACGGAGCGCTCTGACTATATAATGTGAGAAAGACGCAGGGAGGTGACTGGGCCAGAGAGAGGAGCCAAGAGTAAGAACAGGAAACCAAAAGCCTGTGATAGGATGACCCAGCACCTTCGTGCTCCTGCGGCTGGAGGGAAGCTGCTCCAGGGAGGGCGGGCACCTGGCTCCACCCTTCACCAACTAGAGGGCCTGGCCACGTTCCTTCAACCCCCAAAGACTCTGTTTTCTCTTCTACCAAATGAGGGTGGGAAGAGTCCCTGCCTCATGGGCTTTGCGGTGGACTACACGGATGCTGTGCCTTTCGCCTCACATGGCTCACACACGGTAACATGGATAAATAAATGGGATAAGCGGGCTGTGATTAAAATCTCCCACATGCAGGAATGTTCCTCCTGAGAGGAGCAGGGCAGCCTTCCGAGAAAGCACCCAGAAGGAGATCATGCAACACTAATTACTCAGGGCTGCCCAGGAGGCAGGAGAGGCCTAGGCTACAAGTACGGCTGGCAGCATGCAAATAAACCAATCCGGTCATTTTGTCCTGGTTTTGCATGTGAAGCACAGGGAGACAGTGAGTCGCACCCAGCTAGGAGCTGGCGAGGCCCGGACTGGAACTCCGGTCTTGTGGCCCTGGCCCGGACCTGGCCACCACTCTCACACAGGGTGGCGTCGTGAGAAAGTGTGGAAGAGGAAGGAGGGAGGAAGGCAGAGCGAGGAGCCTCAGGCAGGCAGAGGCAGGTCTCCGCCGCTTCCGCAGCTCTGACATCTGGAAGATGGAGGGAAAGGGCGTGGTGCAGGTCCCTTAGGGAAACTCACAGGATGGCTGGACAGGCCCGGTACATCTCGAGAGTCTGCAAGGTCAGGCGAGACCTTCAGGCTTCGTTCTGCTGGCCAGATGCTTTGGTCAGCACCCAAGTGTGCAACTAACTCCCTCAGAGCCAGGACGGGTGCTGGAGGGAAAAGATATCCACATCCTCGCTTACAATATGAGTCCTTCCCCAGCCCCTCAGAGACCTGGGAACACCTGGAGGCCCAGATCCCTCCAGGGGTCACATGTGGGGGATCCGTACTTGAGGGGAGGGTTCTGTGTGCATGGGTGAAGGTCAGGTTGCTTTCCACTCAAGCTGCAGATCTGCGCTGCCCTCCAAGCCAGTTCATAAAATCCTGCACACATCTTAGCTGACAACTAGGCCACTCCAACACAGAAGTTCTTGCTGACCCTTCCCTCCCCTCCAACCATCACTGGAAGGCTCCTCCACCTCAAAACCCTCTCGCAATTCCCTTCACACTTAGGATGGGGTGCACAGTCTTTGCCGGGACCTCACAGCCCTGATCCCACACCACTGTCTCCCATTGCCATTCTGGCCTTGTTCTGTTCTAGCCTCACTGTTCCTCAAACTTGCCAAGCACACTTCTACTTCCAGGTCTTCGTTTCTGCTGTTCTCTTTCCCAGATATCCCAGGACTTGCTTCCCAAGTTTACTTAGGCATCCACACAGAAGGCTTATCTAAAACCCACTACCACTCCAATCTCTCTCTAGTCCCTTCCCCTAGAGGCAGAGCAAGGACAGGGGTGATGGTGGATTCTGGGGATTGGTGAAATAAGACACAAAGAGCTTAAATAAACAAGCATGAAATAAAGAGGTAATCAAAGATTCCCCACCCCCACCCCCCGCCGCCAAAGCCGCAGGCCCAGATAGTTTTATAGGTGATTCTGCAAACTTTCAAGAAGTTCAAGGGGAAAGGTCACTCTCTGTTGGAAGGGAGCTGGGGACAGGGACATGTTTATGAACCATGAACCCTGATGCCATTTAAGCAGGTGCTAAAGTCAAATGTGGGCACGAAGCATGGCAATGAGAACTCAGAAACCCCCAAGGACCATGCTATGCCTCCTTTGTGCTGATGCTGCCTCCTCCAGAAATGCCCTCTCCATGCTGCCCCCGAGGTCTCAATCTGTGCCCCGCGCAGAGCCCTATCCCCTATTCCAGTCATTAAAGCACACAGTGAGTATTTAGCCACTGTTGTTTAATGGTGCTCAGGACTGAACCCAGCGCCTGTGCACTGAGCTACATCCTCAGCACTTTTTTGATTTTTTGAGTAAGTTGCCAACTCAGTAAGTTGTTAAATTGCCCACTCTAGACTCAAATTTGTCATCTTCCTGCCTCAGCCTCCCATAGTGCCACGATTACAGACATGTGCTGCCACGCTTGGATTTTATTTTTTACTTTTTTTTCATTTTGCATCTTTAGCTACTATTTATATGTCCATTTCCCCTGCTAATTAATAACCAAGGGTGGAAACTTTCTCTAATTCATTTTGGTAATCCCACTGCCGGAAAGCAGCGGGTATTTAAAAGAGTGGTTAGGGAAATGAGGAACACATACAAAAAAGCCTAGAGATAGCCACACATTTATTTAGGAGCAGTGTTCTGGTGCCCTGCAAACCAAAGCACCCATGCTGCACCGTCCGGAGCCTGTCCATCCTGACTGCTGGCGGCCGTGACCAGCAGCAGGGACCTGGGAGAGCCCGAGGGCAGTGGGGTTCACCTCCCTTAGGTTCCTAGTGTGAGCGAGGAGACGATGACCAGCAGAAATCGCCCCTCCCTCGCCAGTGAGGCTGACAAGGAGGCTCTAAAATGTCTCTGTGTCTAGTTGTTTACTTCCCCTTTATGCAGCTCAACTGCTGAGATTCTTCTTCCTGTGGTGGGGGATGGAGCCCTGCAGACAGCAAAGGAACCAAGCCCCATGGGTGCAGGTGTCTAGAAGACTGAGGCAAGGAAAGAGACAGAAAAGTTGGAGGACAAGACTTATTCCTCCACATTCAGACCAAAAACTGTCCTGCACATCCCTGCTGTACCCCCCACCATAGTCGCTCAGGCAAACAAAGCCAGAGAAACCCCTGCTCGCCCACCGTGTCAGAACAGAGTCCAGCCCTCACACTCAGGCCAACGGCTGCTGACGGCTCCCTGCAGCAGGGAAGCAGAGGAGCCTTTGGGGATGTGGTATGACAAATCAGTTACCTACAGAAGGCCCACTGAGACCTGCAAGTGTGAGTCAGAGCCAGCATGGGCATCTTTGCAACCAGTGGAAAGAAAGTGAGCTTTGCCCCGCAAAAACAAAGACAACTTGATGGTACAGTGGAAAGGAGCCTGACATTCACATAGATCCATATGCACCAGCTACGGCTGCATAACAAATTACCCCAAAACTCAGTGGTACAAAGGCAAGAAACATTTATCACTTCATGACACTTCTTGGATCAGGAAGCTGATGCTGAAACAGGTCTTTTTTCCCCCCAAGTATTGGAGATTAGACCTTTACACTGAGCTACACTCTCAGTGTAGCTACACTTTTTTTTTTTTTTTTTTTTCCAGACAGGGTGTCACCAAATTGCTAGGGTGGCTGAGCTGGAACTTGTGATCCTCCTGCCTCAGCCTCCCTAACTGCAAGCTAGGAAGAAGCTATGAGCTCACTTCTGAGGAACTCACTCACGTGACTGATAAACTTGTGCAGGCTTTCTGCAAAAGGGCTGTCCCTGTTCCTCACCACCTTTCCGGACCTTTCCCAGGAACAGCCTAAGTGTCCTCACAAGATAGTAGCTGGCTTTCCAGAGTGAATGACCCAAGAGAAAGGATGGCTGAAACCATACTGTCTTTAAACCATATGGCTGAAGTCACACTGTCATTTCTCGCATGCCGCGGATACATTCTGAATGGGAGGGGATGGCAGAGGGTGTGGCCACAGAGGCAAGAGACTGGGCCCATCCTGACAGCTCTGCCTGCAGGTGGAAGGTGCTCCTGACCCAGGACCTAGATTCTTTCCTTACACCCCTGAGACAGCCCTCAGAGGCAGCATTCCACCTTCACTCGCCGCTCCCA